GGTGACACCAGGAAATCAGTGGAGGTGACACCAGGAAATCAGTGGAGGTGACACCAGGAAATCAGTGGAGGTGACACCAGGAAATCAGTGGGGGTGACACCAGGAAATCAGTGGAGGTGACACCAGGAAATCAATCAGTGGGGGTGACACCAGCAATTTAGTGGAGGTGACACGGGGGAGGGGGTACACTGGGAAGTGACACCAGGAATTCGGTGGAGGTGACACGGGGGGTGTACACTGGGGTCACCGTCTCACACAACACATTGTTTCTCTTTATTTGTAACAGTTACATTTTCAGGACATGATTTCGGGGTGTCCCCCCCCCCCTCACCCCCCTCTTCTCTGTCCCGGCTGCACTGACACACAGAGGTTCAGGAGGAGTACGGCTCGGAGGGAAGGGGGGACGACACCCCTGAAATCTTGTCCTGGAAATGTAAATAGAAAGGAAAGGATCGTCCCCCCGGGGATCGGCGGAAAGTTCCCCTTTTATAAAGGTTTCCTCCGGATCACCGGCCAGTCCAGGATTGTGAGGACCGGAGGGGGAGGAGTCAATCATCATGGCAATCCGCAGCTTCCATCATAATAATCCCCGTTGATCCCAACATGATGATCCATGTTCAGACACTTCCTGTTACAGGGTGACAACGCTCTGCCCTTGTTCAGACACTTACTGTTATAGGGTGACAACACTCTGTCCTTGTTCAGGCACTTCCTGTTATAGGGTGACAACACTCTGTCCTTGTTTAGGCACTTCCTGTTATAGGGTGACAACGCTCTGTCCTTGTTTAGGCACTTCCTGTTATAGGGTGACAACGCTCTGTAAAGTCTCCCAAATGGTCTCCTGTGTTGTCACCCTGTCACATGGGCTTTTGATGGCTATTTCAGCACATTACACAGACGCGGTCCACTGTTGTCACCACCAGGCAGTCCCTCCCGAGATCCGCCGTGCGGCCATCACTGGAGTCATGTAGACATCCTATCTGTCCCGGCTGGATTCAGAGCTCAGTAGGAAGTTGAGGAGCGGCATGCTGTGCGATTTCCTGGAGGATCTCGGTACCGCCGTTGTGTTGCCCCTCCCCCCATGTAATGGCAGACATGGCGCTCCATCATTGGGAGGGGTGGACCCCCGGAGAGCCGCCTGTCACAGACATTCCGTGTTCATTACGGGGTTCCCGGGGGGCGGCTTTGGGGAGAACACGGACTACATGTCATCCGCCTCCCATGACACCGAATCCCCCGCGCTGAGCTCCGCCGCTTATTACCATTTTCTGCGCGTCGGCGATAATCCGGCGGAGTTCATTACTCAGCGGAATCGGCGCCAACATCGCGTTCTCAGCTCCACGCAGGACGCCAAACCACCGGAGACCAATTAACAACCCGCGCGGCTAATCCCATCCCCCGACGATGGACAGCGCGGGGCTCATGCAGGAACAGAGCCGGCCCCTGGCGTAGATCATCTGACCCATCACCAGACATTCACCGCCGGACGACCTGGCTCCAGATTCACACAGAGAATGAGCGGTGAATGTGCCGAGACTCCCCGATCCTGAGATAAGGGAGAATTGTATCTGCGTCATCCGTCCGGACGCGGCGCCCGGCGCGGAGGATTTATTCGTCTCGCTACCGAAAATCAATATTAATTCACTTTCCGTTGGAGCGCGCCGAGCGCCCGGGAACCGCGAGATCGCCGAAAACCGCACTTTATAGTGTAGAGCCGGGAGGGGAGTATACGGAGCGAGACGGCGTG